TAAAATCGGGAAATGTTCGACCTGATGCATCCATGATCCAAGCCAAACGAATGGCAGCTAATGGTTGTAATGTCCATACGTTATCCTGTTTGATTTGTTGTGAATATTGATATTGTTGAAGACAAAATGGCAGTTGACGTAGAATAGAGAGTAAATCAACAGTACCATCCGATTTACGCCAAATGAGAATGCATAATTCCTCGGAAACTGTTGCTGGGCGATCATCTATTTTCGATATTGATAAAATATCAAGAATGATTGAAAGAAGATCAAGATCTTCTGGTGAATATAGTGTTTTCAATTGTTGTAATGCTTCGGACAATATTTCACTTGTACAAGTCAAACTAGCTACTCGTACATTTAAATAGGCCACTGGTGATCCATATTTTCGTTCGTTTTCTTCGATAATCAATGCTCTTTCACTGACACTCATAGCATCATCCCAAAACTTACTCAATTCTGTCTTTGCCTTTGGATCATTAGCAAAACTTTTGATTAACTTTTGGTGTTCATTTGCAAAATTGTTCAAAATTTTGCTTAAATATCCGTACAATTGTTGACAAGCATTACTTGTTTCCAAATGAGCTTGTGTCAACTTAATTAATGGAGTTACTAATGACATAAGCTTTCGAAATTCTTCACCTCGAATACATCGTTCAAAATTGAGTTTAGCTGTTTCTTCGAGATATCGAAAAAGACCAAGGATTTTTTTTGTTAAAACTTGCAATTGAATTTCACCTTGAGAGAGACAGTTATTTAAAACTTGTATCATATGTGTTGGTGCAAGAAGATTTGATGGAATAGCATAAGTACCAATGGTAACATAGCCAGATAGACGAGCAAAAAAATTATGTTCACGTAGAAATCCTTCGATAATAGTATCAAGCTGTGGATATTTTTCAGAAGCGATACCGATATAAGGAACAGTTGGATGAACACTGGTTGAAATCGCTTTTGCGTGTTTCTCTTCAATACCTAATGAAGACCATGGTGGTGCAACAAAGAAAACAGTCTGGCACTGTTCTTGAAAAGCCAACCGAGAAATATTGTCAGTGAAATCTCCATCAGAAACGATGATTGCATCATATGGAGTAGGAAATTGTTTTGTTCGATCAAATGATGGACAAAAAGCTGTACAACCACCATTGGGTAGATAATTTCCGTTGGCAAATTGATCCAATGTAAGTAATTGATTAGCGATAGCCGTATGTATTTTCTCTTGTTGACTATCCCCAAACAAAGATATATGTACTTGAATACCTTGATTTTGTAATTTTGTACATAGATTGATGATTGTTTGAACTAGTGGATTGAAACCTCGTACGTTCATCGATGCACTCATATCAAAATGAATGATCAACGACCGTTTTTCCATTTCAACGCCGAGTTTTTTGAAATCGTCAAGTGTTAAAAGTGTCATTACTGGATGATATGTAATTAACTGCTTGACCATCGCAACGATTCGATTCAATGGAATCTCCACCTTATGAGATAATAGTTGAAGCATTCGATGATAGATTTGTTCCACGTATGTCGATCGCTGATCAATCGGTCTACTAGTACAGAGTTCATCCAAGTTGGTCAGAATTTCTAGAAATTGTACTTGAGTGCATTTGTTAACATCCAGATCAGATAGAAGAAGCACTGGTACGAATGAATCTTCGTCCGCTGCTTTTCGTGCTTTTGCAGCCAAAATTTTTTTTGCTCGACGTGACATTTAGTGTTGCTTCAAATTATATTTTGCGTTCTGCTGTTTATAAGCAATGATTATCAAAAAACGTGGACGACATGCTTTGCAATAAGCAGTATGTGGCATTGCACAATTTCACCATTAGTTGACGAATGAAGTAAAGAACAATAAAATATTTTTTTCTTGCGTTCTCTGCTCTTTTAACCGGCCTGTTTCTGGACACATCGCTGAAACAAACGTCTAATAAAAGTTTGAAATTAGCTGTGATATAGTGACATATTGAATTTTCCCACACTGATCGTTATTCATGTATATTGGAATTTTTCAAGTTTCGTTTTTCCTTTCTTTATATGAATTTTCTCATTTCACGTTGGAGATTTTCCATTCGACTGTAATATGTATATATATGTGATCGCACGAGCTAGTGGTGGTTGTACTCCTTCGGATTCTGTTCTTTCGTATAACTGAGTTTCTGTCTCTATTGTATTCGTTCATCACGTATAAATAAACTAGAGAAGTTCACCTAACTTCTAACCTTCTATAACAAGTACAACACGTGACATTAGCACTACCACCCATTGTATAATTTTTTGTATTTATACACAGATCCCACAAGCACGTGCTTTATTAATGATACATGGCTACACATATTCTAACGTACAATCCATTTTAAATGGTCATACTACAGAGTAGAAATGAAAACCTGTGCGTTTTGACAGTATGTAATCTTCAGGAAGACAAAAACAAACAGTTTTCTCCTTGATTATGATTTGTTGTTCTTTTCCTTGAGGTAGCAACCAGAATGAGACCTGTCTGGATTGGCGAGTGTCTGAATGAGGTATCGCTGAGCAAGATACCTCTTATATCAATTAAAAACATTTTGTTCTGCTCATGTTCATGGCGTTTTTTTATAGACGACCTGCCCTCTTTCTAAACTGTAGGATTCCCTACCTTGAACTATAGATATTGGTGAAGCATTTTTTCTTTGTGATCATTCACTCATTCTCTGCAAGTAACATAAATTTCGAGCATCATTTCATAGCATTATTGAGTGTGACATTCGATAAAGTTTGCTTCGTAATCTGTTGCTATTTGATATTTCTTTGAAACTATGAGAAAAGTATAAATACGAGTCTTTGCAATATTTGCGAAATAAAATAAGAGGAAAAATCTCAGAAGGTTTTCTTTGAAAAAATGTAACAGATGAAGAGACATGTTCTCAATCAAAACAATTGTAATAAAGAATAAAGTTCTTATATTATGTGACGGTGTGGATGGGTGTAGGTGGGTGTGAGCGTAGGTAGGTGTGGGTAGGGTGTGAGTTTGAGTATAGTTAAAGGAAAGAGCGGGACCCAAACCCAACCACCCACACTCATACCCATAGCCACACCCTAATTTCATTTTAGACAAGCAAAAAATCAATTACTTCAATTTTTATTGATCTCCTCATGTATTTGGCACTATCCATATAAATCGTTTGATCTATCTTAGCTTTCTTCTCTCATGGTGATACATAACGGTGTATAACATCAAATATAGGTGCCATGGAAACAGGAACACATGTGACGAAACATACATATGTGGGATATAGCAGCTGGCGTACGTGTTACAGAAAACTGGAATAGCTGGCGTCTGCCGTTCTAGCATTTGTATGTGATTAGTTTGATAACGCTTAGGAGCTTATGCGAGTTCCATATTTCATTCCCGAATGAGTCGCATCAACAAATTGTTTTGTTCGAACAACTACTATGAGTCGATTGTAAGTCTACAACAAACAGAAATTCTTGACATTAGTACAATAGATAAATTAATCAATCGAATAAGATTCTCGTCATGTGCATTTCAGAATGTGAATGTTTTTCATTCGTTGATTAAAAAATCGTTAACTCGTAACTCATTTTATTTTGAGTTTCATTGTGATTATTGCATTTCGATGTCAACTAAATAATCTGACAAATGCCATCATGCATCTCATTTAGAATGAGAAAAGAGTCAACCGAACAATATGCTTTCTTGTCCATGAATTTGTATTGTCTTTGATAATTCTTATAGAGAAGAAATTTGAAAGCGATTATTTTCATTTCATCTGACCGTTATTGATCATCATCACTGTACAATAAATATACATCGAACAATTATTGAGTATAATATTGCTCTTTTTCAAGTATTTGACGTCAGTCTTACTGATGCAATCAGATCTTTAAAAAGTATCAAACTTCGTAGTAGTAAATGGATCACTGCAGTTGACAGATTCATTGTAACAAATGATCAGTAAGAGGAATTCAATAATCTTTTGATATTGTTCATCATTTTAGGCATCAGTTGTTTTCTCAATCTCCATCAATTCTTCTTCAGAGGTCAAGCAAAAAATTCAAAGACATGTGACTGACAATGGAATAAAACTTATTGTAAACCGAGTCATCATGTAATCTGGCATTTGATTTGATGATAAAGTAGTATTTTCTTACTTGCTTGATGAATATTCATCAAGATATTCATGCATTATTGTCTTTCTCATTCACGACAACAATCATGAGTACACTATTTTTTCTCTTGTTTCGTAAGAATCAACATTTCAATGCAACATAGTTCTCTTTCTTCGTTGATGTCAATTACTTAACATAATGAACTTCATTGTTTTTGAATTAACAGAAGAAAAGGTTTTCGATTTTTCAACTGTTGTCCATAATAAATAGTCGATATGGGTTGGTATTTTTTGAATAACTCGAGATCAAAAGTGATAGAGATGTGCAGTTTTCACGATTTGAAAGAGTGATATCGAGAGTATCTATCTATGGAGTACTTACTAGATTTTGCAGAGCTCTTTCATGACTACTTTTAAACTGATCTTTTTTTTTTGTTATCTTTTTTCATAGAATGTCACAACGATTTCAACTCAAATTACTCACAGATGTAGTCGAAACTACCCTATATTCCTACAGAAATAATAATGTTCTTTAAAAAAATCCTGTTCTAGAAAATGATGGAAAAAACAACTCAAAATTGTATCGCGAACTTATAGTGGCTGGGCTACATTTGTGTGGGATGTGAGTTTGATCGAAGAGACAATCCACACTCGTCCATACCCAAATCTTCATCAAACCCCACACTTACATCTATATCTACCCTCAAAGTATTCAAAACAGAATTTACTGATAGAACTTGATGAAAAACGAGCTTTTTTCTATGTCATTTATGATCATATGCTGGTTGATGGAAAATAATTCTATTGAAAACTATTTTATTATTGAATCACTTATATGAAAGTATAATGAAAACATTAATGCAATGTCATTTAAAAAAAAATTCATCACTTTTGATCAATGTAGAACTTTTGTACTCGATGATTTCTTGGATCACTGACATAGAGGTTTCCCTCTTGATCAAATGATAAACTGATAGGATAAAAGAGTTGATTCGATTGACTTCCTTCACCATTTCCACCAACGATGACACTTCCCTGTTTATCGCCTTGAGGCCAACGCATGATTCGATGATTCATATCATCAGCGATGTAGACAGTACCTTCTTGATCCACGGCAATTCCTTGAGGATAATTTAACTGTGTAAGATCGTTTCCGTGACCTCGACCACCAGCTACAACAATTCCTTCTTTTTCGCCTGCTATCCACTTCATTACACGATGGTTATTGGAATCTGATATGTACACGGAATAATCTCGATCGACAACGACGTATTTTGGACCAGTTAACTGATCGAGACGATTCCCAGGTCCATTGCCACCCGCAACCACTTTTCCTTGGTTTTCTCCCATTCGATATTGTCTGACTTCATGCTTATCATAATCAGCAACATAGAGATTTCCATCATCGTCCATTGTCAAGCCCCAACATCCAATATTTGAAATGATCATTTCTCCATTTTCACCATTTTGACGAGGCCATCGAACTACTCTTTTATTGCCACGATCACAAATGATGAGACAAGCACGATCTTTATCAATAATTACATCACTCGGATTGTCCAACTGATCAGGACCGTTTCCTTGTCCATTTCCACCGGCCACAACTCGACCAGTCGTTGCACCATACTTCCATTCGACAATACGATGATTCGAGCCGTCAGCAATATAAATAGTTTGATCTTCATCAACGCACAAACCTTGTGCATAGTGAAGTTGATTCATTTCACTACCTTGTCCATTTCCACCCGCCAAAGTGACACCATTCTGAATCCATTTAACATTCGCATTCCCATTTGCATTGTGTAGAAATGGTGCTGAAGAAAAAAACGACAATTTCGTCCATTAATAATATATAAATGTACGTCGATAAAAATCAATATTTAAAGTAGAGAACTTTGATCAAGAGATAGAGAAAAAAGAATAATACGAGTGTGGATATAATTCCTCCTTTCAATACTAATCGCTCGAACATTCACGAACACATTCATACTCACACCCAAACAGTTCATTTTTGTCATCCGAGAAATCAAGGTAAAAAAAGCCCTTTGGATTTTTCAATTTTAATTAGAATGCATAACTTACTTTTCATTTTAAGACAAATTTTATTAATGAAAGATGTTGAATCTTCTTCGATATTAAAATTTGATGGATTGTTGAGAATATCTTTCAATTGTTTAAGTTCTTCGTTGAAAAAGTAAATGTCCGTATCGATAAAATCTTCCTCTTTGCGACATTTAATAAGTCGATCTGTCAATTGTTTCAATTTAAGTTGGAGATCCGTGGCAAATGTGACGACACACGATGCGAGTTCATTACGAACTTCATTGGCCACTTGTTGAATCTTTTCGATCGATTCACGTTCCCATTTATCGATTTGTTTAATTAATTCATGATTTTGGGACTCCGCTTTTTGTTCATCGATTTCAATTTTGAATTCTGTAAATTGATGTTCGATTGCACCTAATTCTTCGCTCAGATCATTATGATGTTCGAACATGTGATTAAAACAGAAATTCTGAGAACATCCAACACATTTTACTGCGTTTTTTGGTTCTTTGCATTTAACACAAGCAGTTTTGCCAGTCGCTGTTGCCATTTGCAGATCTACTTTAGAAAAAACTGCCGTTAGAACAGTCCCTTCGGAGTCAAAGTGTGAAACACGATGTAGCTATTATTTGTTCTTTGATGGTCTCTGGAGGTCATCTGCCACGGTCTGCATGGGGAGAGAAAGAGAGCGAGAAGAAGCGTGAGTGTGCGTGCAGAGTAGGTGCGGATGTAGTCTTGTGGGTGTAGTTGTGAAAGAGTGTAAATATTTATTTTATATAGACCCACATCTCATGACCCTATGTGGATTTACATATGCCGCTGTCCTTCTCGTGATTTTGAATGTCGCTCGAAATTTGTCATTGGCATTGTCCTACTTGGCTGGATGGTCGGGACTTTAGTGCAGTTCCTATTGTCCGTGTTTTTGAGCGCATACTATTTTTATGCCTTGACTTACAACGATTCGTATGATATTTGATGCTGTCAAGTCTCATCCTTACATATTACTTTATTATCCGAAGCTTCGTAGGATCATTACTAATGAATTGCTTTATGAGTCTGAGTTTCCCAACATCATCCTGACACAGTGATGGAAGAATCGAAATTTTACACACTTAGGTGATGAAAGCCGTTCCTCTAGCTGCGTTACATCAGTGAATGAGCGCCAAGTTTTTAGACATTAATACTACGGTTTTTGCTGTGAGCAGAAACTTTTCACTCTTATGGTCACGATTTGCTCCGTATCTGCAAAGCATATAGTGTCCAGGCCCATATAGAACCCAATGGACTCTATCTTTTTGGCAGGTTTTTATCTACATCTGTGCAGATTGATTTACGACCGAAAACTCTTAAATTATTACTCTTATCAACAACTAAATTTGGCCGTTTTCTCCCTTGTCTTTTTATAGAGGGCACATAAATTCGTAGTTACATTATATTGATTTAGGTTTCTTATCTTTTTAATAACTAAAATTGATAAATAAAGTAGGAGTAAAAAAGAACAGACTGACGAATCATGTTAGATATAGGCAACACCACAGCATTAAGATGAATGCATGATCAAAAAATTATGAGAGATCTAAGGTATAGGCAATGAACACAACAGATCAATGGCATACGAAAACAAATCAATTGGCTTAACTGCAGTCGATTATGAATGTCAATACTATATCTATCTTAATCGTTGCCAATGTTCGCAACGTCTTGGCGCAAAGTGGCTACATAACTTTCATTATAAATTCTTTTGCTTTTCGAATATTTCTAACAGTTTACTCACTACGTTTAAGCTATTAAAATCCGAATGTTCTTCGTAATTTCAATGACGAATTGCGGTTGATATAGTTCTTTTGTGTTTCTCACCGTTGACTTGCTTTGTTTTCGACTGATTCTTTTTTTTACTTTTGCAGCATGGTCAACCTTTATCTTCCGTTTCTGTCTGTCTTTAGTTCTTTTTTTTATTGTCTTTTTTAATTCTTATCAAATAAGCATTCTTTTGAGAAGGACTGCATATAGCAACAGTCAAACAATTTATGAGAAGAGAAAACAATAAGTGATGATAAAGAAGCAAAGAAAATTCATACTTGCTCAATAAAATTCATTCCATCTAGAGTACATGAATTGATTTTTGTTTCTGTACGATTTGAAGTGGTTAGTATCCTTCAAAAATAGACGATGACTAGCAATGCAACATTTCATTGCATCTCTATATAATTATTCAATTATTGCTAGTTAACTAACAGACCTAACCTAAAACAGATTTTTAAATTTATTTCATATTGAAATAAATAAAATTTACATTATCATAACAGGAGGAAATTTTTCTTTAAAATGAAACAAACACTGAAAATTTTTAAGTATAATCCATTTTTTCATTTACATAACTATTTTAAAAGATTCGACGCTTCATCTTATTTCTCAATAACAAAGAGAAAAATGAAAACCATTTAGCTTGTTCAATTGAATTTGAACTTCAGAACTAAGTACATTACCAAAGTAGTATTTGGAACACAAACTTCGTTTATTTTTTAACAAAGCCTTGTGAGAAAAACCATATAATCTTTCAAGATGGTCTATAACCAATATAAAAATCGAAATGTTAAACATAATTATGTAAAATACTGATGAATATTTATGAGATCTCCTAGAATGCGTTCTGTTAAAAATGGAAGAACAAGTAAGATTTATAAAACAAATGGCATTGTTAACATTTTTTGAGGTCTTATTTTCAAAGTTTATAATAGTCAAGCGATACTGGTAGAGAGTAAATCAAATTGCCATGAAATTTCCTATGAATTTTTTCAGAAGTCAATCAGATACGCACATATATATTCAAAATATGTCAACATTACAGAACATGATCAGGACGCGAGTGTAGTATTACGTAAATATGCACATATTAAGAGCTGTTTAAAAACAAAATATAGATTAGAATTTTTTGCCATTAGAAAACTCAGTGTATGATATCAGCATGTTATATTTTAAGAAGATTTTTTATTGTAAAACTACTTGTGACATTAGGCAAATAACACAGAGATTCGATAATAGTGAAATATTTATTGTCTTGTGACTACAGACTATGTCAAGACCTATTATTGATTCCTTAATAAGAATGCAGATATTGAAATGAAATTTGAAATAATCAACAATAAAAAAAAATGTAAAAAAAATGATACCTCGTTTAATCTAATTATTTTGTGTTTTCTTTTCAATATCAAATATCAATAATTTTCAATTATATTCTATACACAAATACGTTTGTCAATTGATCTTCTATCAATACTTTCAAAATTATATGAAAATACAAAACAAAATTTATTAATTATACCTCTTAATCTTTTATTGGATCATAAAGAAGAATAAGTAATAGAGATATCGATTTATTTTTCTTTTATTTGTTGCTTTTTATAGTATTAAACTAAAGAAAAAGAATGTTTTTTTTTGTAGACGGCAATCGATAAATAAAAATGAAGATCTTTCTGAAGTAAATTAAAGTTTTTCTTCTGCTGTTAAAAGTTTTGCATTTTTTTTAAGTTGAAATTATTTAATTTTAAGAGTGAATATATGAACATTTCTTGTATTAACTACGAGTAAGTTTCGAAAAAATTTAAAAATAGTGAAAATTTTGCAAAGTTTTACCTATCAAATGAAATCAAGTGCTAATTTATTCTTTTTTGTATGCTATGAGAATTGAAGAAGAAATATTTTTCATAGCTATTTTTTGTTTGATCCATTACGAAACATTTCATTCATTGCAAACACTTCGATATCACAAGCGAAAAGGCAGGAATATAAGTCTCTTAGAAAAATTGATCCTTACTGAAAAATATAAGAAAATCTCGATTCATACAGTAGTCGCCAAAATTCCTGCCTTACGGTCTTCAAAAGCGGACAGTACAATTGAGCTAATAACTCTGGTATACATCAACCATTCAAGATCAAATTAGTATCTGCAATCAGAGTTCACTGAATTCTATTTACAGTAAAAACATGACGAGAAATAGTTAAGGTTTAAATAGCTTTCATCTATGAGCAGGAGTTTTGGCGTCTACTGTAATTGATTTGTAAATTCATTTAAGATGCATAATAACAGGAACTAGACCTATTTGCATTTTTAAAATTGACTTCATGATCGATGAGGCTTTAAAAGAGTAACGATAGTTTTCTATTTCTTGTAGCACATCGATGTGTCTGTTTTCTTTGTCTGGTGTGCCTCTCCTTTTTCCTTTGCATCGAAAAGACAAATCATAGGCATATGATCCCGTGTGTTGTTCCTGCGTTTATCCATAGGTTGACTTCTATGTTGTGTGGGTAATGGAGTGAGACGTCTACTCACTACACTCATTACATACTCCATACTCACACTCCTTTATTTTCTTACGTAGAAACTGGTTAATTTATTGCTTGCTTAGAGAATTGCATGATTATATTTTTAAAAAATCGACAAACAAATTTGAAGAAACAAAACCAGTAAAATTGCTGTTTGTAAAGTTATTAAAAAAATAAGAAGCATCTATTCGGAATTGTGAATAGAACAGATAAATTGTCTCATAAAACTAATCCTGGACAATCTGTGCAACCATTTTTCCTTGTGCTCTTCTTGATTTTGATCGATCGTACATTGCATGTAATTCTTCTAGTTTATAAAAGTTGTACACACGATCAATTATAGATTTCATTTTTCCCATTTCAATATAATTCATTCTCATGTCGTCCAAATGACGATAATCTTGTTTCAATGCATGAAATATGTAAGATGGTTCTTGTCCGATCAAAGACCAAAATTTACGATTAATAACACCAGCACTCACCGTAACAATATTTTTTACTGTTAAATTTGAATGTGGATCGTCACCAACGATTGTAACGAAGCGATCACCTGGTTTTAATATTTGTTGGGCTGATTCCCACTGTTCTTGTCCTCCAACACAATCAAAGACAACATCATAATTTTGATGATGAAGTAATTCACCAAAGTTGTATGTTGTATAGTCGATTACTAGGAGATCGTCATGGTTAGACTTCGTTACTTCGCTTACATTTTCGATTATATTGTATCCTGAAATAAATAGAAGAAAGATATGTACAGTATAGGAGAAGAAGTATTCATATTCGTAGAGTCCATTCGGTCCAAGCTAGACTTATCGAATGCCAAACAACCAGATATTCTATTAAAAACAGTTTCGCAGTCTACCTAAGCAAAGTGTTCGAACATAAGCGATAAATGATAACCAATAAAAATTCTATGGCAAACAGTTTTAGCTTGCTTGATGTATGAAGTATTATTTCAGTAACTTCTACATGAGCGTTGATGGGAATCTTGGAAAAGTGAACCATATTTCCGACTAATTTTAGCCAATTTTCTTAAAATTTTCTTCAGTAAATGCCCGGATCTGATCAAGTTTTCTTTGAAAATTCACGGCCATGGTCGTGAATAAAGAAGAGCTCCATGTTGAAGTCATCCCAAACCATAGAGACTTCTCTACATATCATGGTTACAGCGGATTGGAGTCCTCTATATGTGACACGATATAGACATGTAAACCTTTGTTTATTAATAAGAAAATAGAGGTTAACGCATATAAATAGTCGAAAATTAGGTACGTTGCAAAAACGACTTTTATTAGATCTCAAAAGAAAAAACCACTGTTATCATCGTAGACCACTTGCATTAAGGCCTGTTGACTTCGGGTTGCTGCTTGCAGTCAGAGTTTATCAGATTCTATTTGTAGTCCAAATAGTAGACAAAATGATCGAAGTTTATGTAATTTGTACCCTTTAGCAGGGTCTCTTACTACTACCATGTACTTACATAAACATTTGATGTACAAATTGTGCGAACTGAAAAATGGAAACCACTTACAAAGGTGATGCGTACTAGTACAAACCTCACTTAATGATAACCCTTTGAGTGCGAGGGGATAAGAACTCTTATCCTGAAATCTCAGGGTCTAAATAGCTTTCATAGATACGACAGATTTAGTTTTACATAAAATGAAACGTATGTTTATTTGTTTTTATAATATTTGCATGGCCAAGATCAGTTACTATTACTGATGATTATTGGTGTCTCTTTAAAAATAAACATTGATTTGAAATTTTAAAAAATTCCTTTTATTCAAAAAAAACTAATATTGAACCGGATGGATAAAGATTTTCATAAAACACGAAGAGAATGCATTTACATTCTCCAACAAATAACGAGTTGGATACATGATACATGATGTATCAATTAGAGATTCTACATTCAGATTATATCTACACTACAAACTGTTCTGATTCTGCAATAACATTCACGAAAACATGCTCTAAAAAGTTCGTTCGAAAGTCAGAATACTCAGAAATACAACAAGGACTTCAAAATGTGGATAATAATGTGACATTCCAGCTGTTTGTTAAAAAGATCAATTGAGACAATTTCGAGACAAAATTGCTCTTTAGAAAATTCTAACACATAGCCTCATATTGACTTAATAAGAAATCCAAAGACTTATTGCTGATATCATGTAGATTCAACAATATGGCGCTTAAAATAAGGATCCTCAGAAGCTTAAAGAACGTTTTATCAACAAATATCTATAATAATTCTTGTCAAAAACATGCTTTTCAAAAAAGTGGTCAACTGAAGTTCTTTAGAAATAGATTTATTTCTTCTTTTCCTTTAAATATTTTGTTTCAAAGAGCAACAAATGATTAAATCATCATTACAGTTACAGTCCAATATTGAGTACAAGAAAAGAACAAATCATATCTCGCTGTGCTCATTATATTAGAATAGATTGTTAACTCACTCCGTTTTTACTAGTTGAACTATTTAAGAAGACATATTCATGCGATAAAAACAGTTGTTTTATGCTCGTCAAAGTCGTTCAATACCGTAACTTGCCAATTTAAATTATATCAAAAAAGACCTAGAATGGTCGAGAAAAATCTAGTAATTGTCTCAAAATAGATCTGTAGATGGATTGTCTTCAAGCTCTATGCAACAACATTAATCACATTGTGACTGTAATGCATATAGTTCTCTCTATCATACCTAACTTCTTAATTGTATCCATGTTTCTTGATGAACTAGTACATGCAACATGAGCTCCTATTGCCTCTGCCATCTGTATTCCAAATAATCCCACTCCTATGAAGCAACCACAATAAACACTTTTAAATCTCGTGTGATTTGCCTTGTTCAAAAAATGCTACATCAGCTGTTTCAACAGCTAATGATACAGCTGCTGCTTCAGTAAACGATAGATTTGTTGGTTTCAATGCAAATAATGATTCATCACCATGGACGTACTCAGCAAAGGCATTTCCATAGCCCATATTACCATATACTGCATCATCGATTTTTAAACGTTTAACTGACGAATGGATATCAGCGACTATGCCCGAACAATCCATGCCTGTATAAACAAAGAAAAAGGAAAGATCTTTCAGTTCTCTAAATGAGATAAAAGAGACTAAAGTGTGAGTTGACCTAGCTAATTATGTATTCATTCAACAATTCTAATCTGCTTAAAACTTGATCTAAAATTAAGGAAACTTTAATTCTGATAATTCATGCAAAATTCTCTTTCGAGAACAATTCAAGGCACACTGATCACTACGTGTACAGGAGTTCACACATATTTTGTCAGCGTCTATCTTGAAGAAGTTCTCACTTGAATAGAGACTATTATCACTAAACTGTGTACAAATGGCTGCTGTTTAATGAAGGCTCACACTTCAGTCATAAATAAGACATTATATTTATTTTTTCACAACGTTTCGATTTGCAGATTCAGTGTTCATCAGAGAGGATACATAATCAATGAAGAATCAAATTAAAAGTTCCGAATTCGAACAAAACTTTCTTTTGATAAGTAAAGCTTATCTATGTAAATATAGATGCGTACACAATAAAAGGTGATTTTGCTTTATGGCAAAACATGTTTTACTTTCTCATATTATATTATTCTATTTCCTAACTTGTACAATTTACAAATTACAACATAAGAACAGAAATGAAAATAAGAAATAAACAGAATAAAAACAATTTATTTTGTCAAAGACAATTTCTTTAGTCATAACAGCAAAGAAACTTTGGATTTAAATTAATCAATTTTTTGTATTCATTACTGAAGAATAAACTTAAAAATCGAAACATTTAGAAATAAAAATTATGATGATATCGTACGAAAGAACAGCGTTCAAGCAAATTTAAAAGCAAAATGGGTATTCTATTTTCGTCTTTTACCATGACATATCTATACAACGTATTCTTCTTGTCTGCATTACTATTTTTTATTATCTGGTATATTTGAAAACGCATATGTTTTAATAATTGATATATTTCCATTTAATAATTTCCAATCAATAGCATTGATTGATACAGCATGATTTCTTACCAACACCTGCGATGCTTTCACTTCTTTTGGTGTGGGTACATCTGATTTCAATTGCAATACATATTTTGCATCAACATAACCAAGTTGTTGTGCTGCTATCATTACATCGGGTATGTTATTGCCAATATTACCGACTGCTGCTGAGGACTGCTGCATTTTTATGAGTTAAAATTAAATGTCGTTAGTAGAAAATAGGTTATAATTAATCTACTGAAAACAAAAATAAAATTTAGAGGAACAGCGATAAAGTCAATATAAAATATGGCTATTGCTATACATAAAGAAAGATCAATACTCAGTTTTCATTTGTTTATGTTCCTTTACGTCGTGTGCATGTGTGCTGTCACGTGCCGTACTATACATACGATATTAAAATGATGATGAATAAAGAGCAAAGGCCGATAAGGACACTTTTCTCCCAAGAGCTTTTTTTATCAAAAAGAAATACATCAAGATAATAAGTTAATCATGAGCTACAACATAAGCATATTTATTCATCTCAATTCGACATTAAGATTTCTTCAAATCTGTACCCCCTACGAGGTACCAATTCTTTTTTTCTCTTTGTTTCGAATCAAATACGTGTCATAATATAGAATTGCAGTGTTGAGGACCTGCTACTGTTATTATATAAAGTTCTGAACGTTTGAAAACAAATTTTAAATGATTCCATGTCCTAGAAATCACTAAAAATATTGACAATGTATTGTGATAGATCGAAATGATGATTGTGAGTTGAAACACAATATATTACCAATTTTTTTTTCGATGAATCTGTCGATTATGTATCATATATCGATACTAGAAATGATTTTGTTTGTGTAATCTCGATTTCTACTGTTATACTGAGAATTTCCTATTAATAATTTGCATTAACGAATATTTTTATTGAAAATTTGAGTATTTACGTTATTCTACATGAATAAAACATGTAATAAAAATTTAAAAAAATATAAATCTGACTAGCAACTCCTTATAATAAGCTGCGAGCATAATATGTGCAAATGTTTATCTACTAAATAAACTTGATATTAGTTAGAAGATGTTGCGTAAACTGCTTTAACCAACTATGTACAAAATATTGAAAATTACTTCTTTCTTCATCTGAGTTTGTACGAGATACGTCACAAAGAAGACAACTAAATCATCTACTATAAATTTGAGATAGAAGGTTTGATGCTTTACAATTATCTTTTATCATAGTATTTTTGATATACGATGCCTTCGATATATAATGTAGTAGAAGTGAATTGTAACATTCATTTAATGTTTACTGTGTAGAAAAAAATAATCAAAATTATTAGAAAAATCGAAAAAATACACGTCAGTGTTGATCTAAGTTTTTTATAACTTGAGAAAGTTATAGACGTTAAATATTTTGCTTGTTTACCATCAGACAGGTATATACACACTAACTAATCGTAAATCGGTCTCTTCACATTGCTAGAATAAATAATTATTCGAAGGAAGGTTGACTTGTCGTATTTGCAATACTATTTTGTCTTAAAAAATAACAACCAATTGATTTTTGCTTATTATTATTGAAATGTTTTATCAAGTATTTCCAGTATATTTCCTTTATGATCGGTAATCGAAATATTTCATCAAAATCATCTATTAAATATTTCTGCTTTTGCTTATTCTAATATTGGGAGAGCGTTGTAAATCATTACGAATTTGATTATTTAACAATGGAATGTTTCCTATGAATGTATATGATGCAGTGAAATTTCGATCCTATTATAATATATTTGTTTGTTGTAATGATAAATATTGAAATGTATATAAAGTGGAGAAAAAAAGGATGATACATCTCAGCTGCTCCTTAATTTCACAAAGTAAGCATATGTAGAGATATTCTTTCTTCACTGTTTCATTTTACATGTGATCGTGAACACGTGTATGTGCATACATGGTACCTTTCATACTACTTTGCTTTCTGGATAGATAATGAGCGATAAAAAACTTGATGGTTAGAAAACGATACACAGAGACAAAGAAAGATATATTATTTCATCGTATATTGTAGCTATAAGCATAGATCATTGCTAGAGAAATATTAATAAATGTTTAATTTCTAGTTACTGATATTTGTATTTAAATAAAAGGTAAATTGATAAATACTATTATGTCAAACTCAAGCAATGAACTTGCTGTACATAAAGTAAATTTTCGTCTCTGTCGAATATGTGTATGATCTAATTACAGTGGACTTGGTTTTAATCTTGAACGTTCATCACACCCTTCATATCTTGTTCAAATTGTTAAATCGAATAGTTCAGCAAGTGTTGGTGGCAGCGACGTATCCAGGGGGGGAATGGGGGGATCAGTCCCCCCCCCCCCTGAATAAAAAAACACCTGGAGGGGGGTACGGGTCGATCGAATTTTTTCAGCTGGAAAACAGTTTTTCTACATGGCGATCCCCCCCCTAAAAAAATTTCTGGCTACGTCACTGGTTGGTGGTCTCAAAATTCGTGATATGATTCTTGCTATTAATAATAACGATGTATCATCTAAGAGTGATTGCTGAAATAACGAGTGTTATTAAACGTGCACAAGATAATAATGATCACGTTGAATTACTTGTTGTTGAAAAATATTTTTATGATAAATTAAAAGAAAACGATATCTCGTTCAATCCTATATTTGCTATAACAATTGACACACCAAAAACAATGTTTCGTGATTGCCAGAATTTTCCTAAACATGAACCACGTATATGTGAAATATATTTAAATGAAACTGATTGATCATTTGGTCTTAATACTGTTAATGGTCAAAATGATATTGGCAGATTCGTTCGAGAGATCCTCGAGATACATCAGTTAATAAAATAACATTATATAAAAGTGACATAATTCCTGAAACCAATGATAGATTTATTGATAATGAATCGAGTAAAAAAAATAGTAAATAAATTGATTAAAGAAATATCAAAAAAGGTTATCTGAAAATATATGTAGTTGATTCACATATATCTATATAACTATTTTCCACCAAATGATATACCATTAGTATCAAAAAAGTTTCAAAAATTTCATTGGCGAAAAACAAACCAAACTCTTCGTATTCGAATGTACCAGATAGAAAGAAATAAAAACAAACTTTTTTTTTCTGAACAATCGAAGTACTTTATTCGGCTTTATTCGAAGAGACTGATACAAATGATGGCTGAATAAGATCTTCATCTACTAACATGCACGGTACATGATCACTACAAGCCGTAGCCAATTCTTTTTCTAAAAAATACATGGAAAAATCATAGGACTTTATTGATTTCGTGAATTTTCTGCATCTGCTGTTTATACTAATTACTATTGGATCAAGGCCACTAACATGATTATAAATCGGCTTTCATCTCTTTAAGCTTGATTATTTGATTGCACTTAATGATTTTGATAATAAAAAAAATCGAAGTTCGATTAACTAACATATAATGGGTGAAACGCAATCACTAATCTTCTTTGCTGTTTGTTATCAATAAAAGTGGACTTGAAATTCGACATTCGAATTTTTGCTTTCTGTTATCTTTTTAACAGAATTTACAATTTAGATTGTAACATTTAAAATCAAAATGTTTAAAAAAAATCAAAATTATCTAATGCTTCGATATTAGCGACAGGATCAACACAACTACTAACAATATATAGTTGAATAAACTGAAGGACACCACCTCGATTGTCCCAGCTGGTTACAACACCTGTAATTTTTCAGGAAAAGAATAGTTGTTCGCATTATAGACAACCTTTTGCTTGAATATCAAGACGAGAACATAATAGTCAGTAGACAAAAGGTAATAGCGAAAAACATTTTATAAGATGATGCATTACTTAAGCTTTTCATGTATCATACCTTTGAGAAAAAAAAACTAATTCAAGCGACCAAGATTTTGCTACTGGACAAAATAGGCCTCTTCAAAGTTTTATTGCATCTTCTAAATAAATTCACCTTTTGAAGCATATGTCTATGATACTAGTTTTTAACAATAATCAAGAACGAAGCACATCAGAGAATTTCAATGATATTCGTTTATGTACTATTACTCATGCCTATTGAAAATTTTATCAGGTTGTTATAATGGACTATCAGGTAAGAATTTTATTTTTTAGTCAATCAAGTTTCTCTCGTCAGAATACCAATCTACAATGAACAGTCTTTTCTTCTGAATATGCAAAAAATCGAAGATGATTGAGATTATGGAAAGGTAAAAAAAGAAAAGGATGATGAGTATCGAGATAAAACACTCTTACTGAAAATCTTGTCTCTCAGATTTGTCTACTGCTAAAAATAAAAATAATCACATGTTAAATTTTGGCTAGGATCCCTCACTAGATACATATCTTCTTTATTATGGTGTTCCTTTTCAGTATTGTACATCTGCCACATCCCTAATTTTTCGACTGTTCGACACCATTCTATATCACTGATTGGCTTATATTTTCATACATGCCGATGGCAAATTAAACCTAGATAAAATTCATTTTTCATTAGGTGCAAAAGTATGAAACAATTTTCTTGCATCTAACAATAAACTCTAATTCTCGTTTCTATTAAGAAAACATAGCATGTATTTGTTTTTCTTTAAACAGGCAATGTATTTATATTCACTTGTTTATATTATAATGTATGCACCAACCACTTCTGCATCGATATCGGAAAATGACTTTTTTGAATGTATCTTTAAAAAGAAGGGAAATGACATTTTAAATTTTTAGACAATTGAATTTTCAGAGAAGACAGTTATTATTGTACCACAGTAAATAGAGATGCTAAGACTTCGTAGATTTGTTTGACTTGAAAAATTGCTCAACAAAATTTAATAGTATTATATATTTATAATTTACATATCATTGATGAAGTGCATAATATTGAAAGACAAATAAAGATCGATAAAGAAATACAATGTAAAAAGCATATACTTAAATATATTTTCTTTTTTGTGGTCATTGACGCATATCACTTTGATTTATGTTTATGTTGATTGTTCTTATGAACTCTTTCATATTATTCATATGTTCAATATTAAGATACTCTATTCATAAATGTACTTCTGGTTCAAAACATATCTGATCATGATATCTAGCATAGATCGTAACATGTCGTATGGCTACTTCAATCTTGTCTCTTCGATAAACATACACACTTATTAATATCCTAATAACTCGTTGAAGTTTTCATATATTCTTTTAGTATGATTGATTAAAAATGTGTATTATAATTCCAAACTTACCTGATAATGCTCCTTAGTCAAGATCGCAACGTGTCATAAGTAGCTTTAGAATATTTTTCTCTTTATTTTTTAATCACACACATGCACACATGATATACAGGCATCCTCACTCACACAACCATGCATGCGTTCGATTCAGTACACAATCACATCGCATGATGAAATTGTGTGTTTTAAGAATTATTTTCTGAGGTCTGTGATTAATCTAAAATATTTAGAGTTTTTATCGCGATGAAAAATTGTCTATTAGCATTAAAGTTTATTTCGTGTTGATTTGAAGAAAGTGTCATATGATGTTAATAAAAAGGATTATGCCAGAGTGACCGTAGCAGTGGGTCCACCTTTGGTTCCACTTGCCTTTATCCAAAAAGTAACAATGTATGATTTCCCAATAGTGACGGAAAAGGATTGTCTAATTTGCTCAGCACATTTTGTGTTCTGCTCTTTAACACTATAATTACCAGAATGTGCTGAAGCAGGATCATTTAAAATACTGGTTGAACTAGTTCCACAAGATCCTGGCGTGAATATCCAGGGTGAAAAAGAGCCTGATTCAAAGCCTCCGTTTGACAGCATATAAGTACTTCCATTGTATACTGACACATCATCCAAATACCAAGTATTGCCTTTACTATCAAGGCTAAATGCAAGGCTGACGTTGCCTGATTTGGACGCTGACCATGTAATAGCATAACAAGTATATGCATTGGTGGCGGACGTGAGTGTATAAAGAGTACTGGAATTACCGACATTCGTAGTTATACATCCTGTAAAATAGAAAATAAGCTATAGAGTAAATAAAAGAAAACTCTAGGAATGCGCATACGTGTTAGAATTGTATTCCTATTTTCTTTAAAATCAGATATTCAAGAACGAATAAAATTCAAGTTTCAATTCTCTAGTTAGAAAATAACAATCTTATTCAGATAAACATTTCTCGTTGTTCTTTCACTGCTACATCGATTTCACGTATAGCTTTAACGCTGTGTCTGGTCAAATGCGTAGACACAATTAAGACAAAATAAAGTATTATTTGAGATATTATACTTTAAAAATATCAAAAAAAAAATCATAATTTCCTTACGAAAGACTTTTCTACAGATATATTGAAAGGAGACTACGGTTTTCTACACAATGAGCATCATAGCTATGAAAGAATTTCTCTTATGTATTAAATTAAATATACAGAAGTCACAGCGAAGATGTAGTTATATAAAATGAATATTTTTGATATGAGGAAAATATCTCAAAGTGAACAATCAATTTGTAATTCCAGGATTATGTACGAGGACAGCGTATAGTTCAAAAAAAGAAAAAAAATGAAATATTGGAAATATTTTTAGACAAAAAATGATATTTACTATCTCTGATGGTCAATGAAAAAATTGATGACGTGTTTTAATTATTATATGATCGGGTGATTTTTGCTAGCCACACTTTATGTTATTCACAGAGTCGGTAGAGCTATCGAAGAAAAAAATGAAATTTCGAAATCACTGATTCAGGTCACGCAGATTCGGCGCTATACCATCAGATTCTACTTGCTGGAATCGACAATTAAACTGAGAAATTGAAATCATAGTTGGATACAAGATTCAGATCCCTAATCCATGGTTTGCATGTTACTGTTGTCAACGTTTACTAGATATGTTGATTTCTTTGTGTTCAATTTCTCTTCAGACGATATGTTAAAAATTTTTTATAACCAGTTACTTGGAAACGTAACATTAGATGACTGCGTATTATCTGAAGTCAATCAGAATCAGTTTAAGATACCGATTATACTTGATCAGAGTACTGTCGTAATAGAAAAAGAGAAACCGGAGATTGTATTGGCTCCACTATATTTCATAACGTTATTGAAGCTAGTGGAGTTCTGCCAAGTTAAGGAAATAATGGAATCACCGAGTTAGCGGTTTTCTCTTATACTTGGTTAAGCTCAGACTTCCAAGTGTAGAATAGCAGACAGTAAAAAATGATTCCCAGTAGTTCTATTACAGTAAATCCGCTGATATTTCCTCAGAGAAAATTCAGGTTTTTTTTTTGAGGCTCAAAGCAGTGTCACTTGCAACACTGATAACTGCAAAATGGAATAGTATCGAAGCCTGATATTTGAGATTTACTTGATATTAATGATCAAAGTTCTAGTAAAATTGATTACTATCCAAATCAATATGAATGTTGGCCTATCTCATGACTGGCTACAAAAAACTACATGTTTACATACGCTACTACTCACAATAATGAAAAATAATTGCAGATAGTTATTCTAGTGTAAATAAATCGAATACTAGTTGAACTGGAATGGCAAAAGCTATACTAGCATGTAGTTGTTCTAATCTACTTTTCCTCGATAGTGGAAAATCTACCACATGTTCACTAGCACTAAGATAGTAAAAAAAAGAGCTGTTTTCAGAACCTGAAGATTTTGTCCTAAAACATCTACCGAATAAATATTATCATGCGAACTGTGTGCTTCACACTTCGCATGAAGACGGAATAATTGTAATGGATTTCATG